ATCATCCAGCAGCAATCAGTTGCCAACATTCCTTCAGGTAAGATTGAAGTCTGCTGTTCATTTTCCCAGTTCTATGCTGGGTTTTTGTCTGTCTGAGTTTGCATGGGACCTGTGTATGCTGACACCATTGCCATAGAATCATATGAGCAGGTTCCCAAGAGACGGTGGGACTCCCTTTCCATATGGCCATGAACCTCTTCCCTGGCTCTTACCACCTTTCTGTCCCTTCTTCCGAGACAGTCCCTGAGCCTTGGGTGGAAGACGTTTAATAAAGGGATCCTGACCAGCATTCAGCAGACTTGATATCTACACTTTGGCTATTTGTGACTTTTTGTGTTCCTGGCCCTCCACTGCACGAGGGAGCTTCATTATTGAGAACTGAGAGATTCACACGAATGATCAGATCTTTTCAATGCTTTGTTGTTTCCCTGTCTTTCCCCTCTGCCGTCTGCCAGAGAAGACCTGCTCTAAGGGTCATGGGAGTAGATCAGACAGAACTGAATAACCTCAGTCCCTTCAACTACACCATGAAGCACAGCATGATCGCAGGGGTGAGGATGACTCATAGCTGCAGTTCTGGGAATGAGGTCATGGAATTTGGGGGGCCAACTTTAGAATTCTATCATAAAGTTTCTCATATTTTCTTAGAGAAAAGAGATATGGTTTTCCAAAATTCATTCTGTCTTAGGTTGCAGTCATAGAAGGAAAGTGTCTATAATGAGGCTTGTAACTGACCTATTCTCCTCTGCCACAGGCAATCTAGAGTTGAAATATTGGATTTCATTCTAGATGTCAGAAATAGGAGAGAACAGCTAAACATACCTGCCTCAGTCCATTCTAGCTGCTATAATGAAATACCCATAGTTCGGGTAGCTCATAAAGAAGAAAAGTTATTTCTCACAATTCTAAAAGCTGAACTTGCAAGATCAAAATGCCAACACATTTGGTGTCTGATGAGATCCCCTTCCTGGTTCATAGACAGTTAGCTTCTTTTATCACCTCACATGGCAGAAGATGCAAGGGCTCTCGCTGGGGTATATTTCATAGTGCACTAATCTGATTTAAAAGGTCTCCGTCTTCAAGACCTAAGCACCTCCCGAAGGTTCTGCCTTCTAACTGTATCTCTTAGGAGGTCGGGGTTTCAACATATGAATTTTCAGGGGGCATAAACATTTAGTCCTTGGCTATAGCTAAGATCATAGATGGATTCAAACCCTTGGTCTGCAAAGCATAGTGAGGGAAAGGCAGAACTTAACATGAAGATGGAACAACGCCAAGATCACACGATAACCACTTTGAATATTTTAAAGGTTATAATGTAAGAAAGGAATATGCCCTGCCTAGCTTCAGGGAGATAAAAAAAAAAAAAACTCACTGATGGATGGCAAGAGAAGATTTTTGGCTCTGTATTGGAAAGTGCTTTCTAATGGAGCTAGACCGATTGACTGAGCTAGTCTGCTTATGGCATGATGCTGTCCCTGGAGCTGCAGAGAAGAATCAGAACTCTTGGAAGAAATGGCACATGGAAAGGGTTAGGCTAGGTGATCCTTTAGTTCCCCCCCTCCTTCTTTGCATATGTGTGGTATGTGTACATGTACGCATGTTTGTATGTGTGGGGGCACATACATGTGCACATGCATGAGGAAGCCTGATGTTGATGTCAGAAGTCTTCCTTGGTCATTCTTCCACTTTATTCTTTGAGGCAGGGTCTCTCAATCAAACCCAGAGCTTGCTTATTTCACCAGTCAACTTCCTAACCAGCTTTCCCCTGTCTCTGCTTTCCAAGGCTGGAGTAACAACGCAGTCACCCAGCATTTACGTAGGTTCTGAGGATCCAAACTCTGGTCTTCTTGCTTGTGTAGCAAGCATTTTAAGCACTGAGCCACTGCCATGCATGCTTGCACATGTGTGTGTGCACACATGTATAATTACACACACACACATTGTTTAAAACAAGGTCTCATGTAATGCAGACTGGCCTCCCTGTGTAGCCAAGAATTACTTTGAAAAAAATAAAATAAAATAAATAAAACTAAAAAAAAAAAATGTTAAAAAGAATTACTTTGAACTTCTGATCTCCCTGCCTCCACTCCTGAGTTTTAGCATTATAGACCTGTGCCACCACACCTAGTTTATAGGGTTCTGGGGCTCGAACCTAGCGCTTCATGCGTACTAAGCAAGCACGCTGTGGACTGAGTGCATCCCCAGCCTTCCTTTAGGTCCATTCCATCCCGAGGTCACTGTTTTGACAACAGCATGGCTGCCTTTATAATTGCTTCTTTAGTCCGAAGCCTCTGCTTTCACTCCTGTGCCTGGTACACTTGGGCTCGTTCTCCGCCATGAACGCGCATGGCACAGTCTGAAATCAGCTTCACCATGCTCTTCTCCCCGCTCTCCTATTTTCACAATCAAGTTTGAGTAACAAATTATTAAATCGCAGGTAGAGAAAAAAATGGAAGATCATGCAAATGCACAGATGCAGGACTAACAGAGCTGACCCTCTAGGGATGACCCCTGGAGTGAGACACTGGAACAAAGAGCTAAAACTAAGGATAAATAGAAGGAAACATAGACAGGATGTAGGTGTGTCAGGTTAAGTCCACCGACAATGCAAGCAATGAAAACAGAACACAAAGAACGAGATTAACAAAACAGACTCCTGGTGAGAAAGTCAGTGGAAACTTACAGACCTGGTCTTGATAAGATGGCAAGAAGCTAGCTAAAAGGAGACCTGAATTAGCCATGGGTGGGAAGACAGTGCTCAGAAGTCCAAATGGATAGTAAGGTTAAATGTCAAGAAAGACACTGGTGGACACCCAAAGGGGTCAAGATAGTTGTTCAACGCCAGGTACAAAAACCTCTTCAACAAAGGCTCAGGATACCTGCATCCAACATCAACAAGTTAGAAATCTAGCCTCTCAACACTAGGTACAAAAACCTCTTCAACAAAGGCTCAGGATACCTGCATCCAACATCAAGTTAGAAATCTAGCCTCTCAACACCGGCTTCTGAAAAACCTAGTCCAGATACTGAAAGGCTGGTTCTTGGGTCAGGGCATGCCCAGATGAGAAGTTGATTAGATCCCAGAGTTCCAGGGTAAGCTGTGTCTAACAGCTTGAAAGCCTAATAGAAACAAAATTTGTCATTGCCTCTTTTGAGCTTATTAAACATGTAGAGAAAACAGTCTTATAAAAAAGATGATGGTGAATTCCTTTGTTCCTGTGACTTTGCTTTACAGTTTGGGAGTTATTTGCACAAGTAGCCATATAGATTGGTATTTCACAGACAACTCGGCACCTTTGCCAATATCACCATCACTGTGCCTTGTTTTCACACTCAGAGGAAGAAATACTCTAACTTACAGTTCAAGAAGGGAGCTGGGGCTCAGGGAACATCAAGGAAGAGGGGGCAGAAAGACTGTAAGAGCCAGAGGACCAGGAGGACCACTGCTGGATAGTATCTTCTGGACTGGACAAGGATGTTGTACCCATGAACTCCGAACAGCATGGTTGTCTACACAAGGCCTGCATGAGACCACACCAGTCAACATTCCATGATGGATGGGGGAAGGGCTCCCAAGGCCCCACCCCTAGATGAAGAACTACAGATGGTAGACAGCTGCTGAGGGAGGGAGGGTCACTTATCTTCAAGGATGAACCCTGAGATAGGTTGCCGATGCCCAAGTGGTCAGGCCTATTCCCAACTACATATGGTAAAGTAATTGTACTCAGTTT